TAATGACTGACATGCTCATCTAGAAGTGATACTGTAGATCTCTGCTCTAGTTTCCTGTATATGATAAAAGAAAGAAAAAAGGAGGCTGTAAATTCTACATTATTAGGCCATTAGTGTTTTAAAATGAGCTTCCCATTATCTGTGCCTCAGGATATTAAACTGCATTTTTTTTAATCAGAGTTGTGAGATCAAATCCCACTATCACTTAATTTGAATTTTTGTCATTGTATCTAGCAAAACCCCCAAAACAACTAATTGCAAACTCAGGATAACTGACATTCATATGTTGATAAAGCTTTTTTAATCTTGGCGTTCTGAGTTCAAATGCCGTTATTGCTTATGTTAAACTTTAGTCATTAAATTGAACAAGGTTTTCTAAATGGCCATGTTGAAACCTCAATGGTGTAGTGGTTAGATGTGCTATTTAGATATAGTTATCTTTTGGACGTGTTTAAATCCCACACTTGTTACGGCTTTTCAATATTTTAAACAAAGCTCTCAATAAAACCTGGTCCAAAATACTGATCAGACTCATAGATTCCATGGGTCAGTCGTTGATGTGCTATATTGCCGTCTGGGAGACCCAAGTTCGAGTCCAACAAGTGTTTACTTTAAACTAGTTGTGAAAGCTGCAATGGTGTAGTGGTTAAACACATGTTATTTGAGATAAGGCTGTGATTGAAACATGGGCTCAAAACTGTCAAACTCAAATCTTTTGTTCATATAATACAAAACACTCAATAAAATCCACCCAAAATATCATTTAGCTCAATGGTTCAGGAGATAAAGTGTTGTCTTTTCGTTTGGGAGACCTGAGTTCAAATCCCACAATTGCTTATTTTAAAATTGTTATTAAACTGAATGAAGTTCTCTAAATGGACAAGTCTGTTGTGAAAGCCTCAGTGGATAAACAATTTATTTGACCTAAGGTTGCGATTGAAACGTGGGTTCAAAACCCACAAAAGCAGAGTTTTTCTTTATATAACATAAAGCACTCTATAAAACCACCCAAAACTCCTTTCGGCTTCACAGACTCAGTGGCTCAGGAGATAAAGCTTTGGGTTTTAATCTAGGAGATTTGATTTCAAATCCCACTACTGCTTACTTCACATTGATCTCAGACAACAAAGTGACTCAAACGCTGAGACACAATGTGGAATCAATGATGGGTAAGTGGATAAATACATGTTCTCTGAGGATGAGCTTGTGATGGAGACGTGGGTTCAAATCCCACCTCCAAAAAAGATCACATACCCAGTTTACATTAACTTCTTTTTCTTGAGAAATATAATATGTTCCGTTCCGCCCTCCTGTGGTGATTTTTGTGAATTACAATCGAGTCTAAGGAACTTAAGCTGGTTCCGCCCTCCTGTGGTGATTTTTGTGAATTACAATCGAGTCTAAGGAACTTAAACTCGTTCCGCCCTCCTTTGGTGATTTTTGTGAATTACAGTCGAGTCTAATGAACTTAAACTGGTTTCTCCCTCCTGTGGTGATTTTTGTAAATTACAATCGAGTCTAAGGAACTTAAACTGGTTCTGCCCTCCTGTGGTGATTTTTGTGAATTACAATCGAGTCTAAGGAACTTAA